GTATGACTGTATTCTTTTAGAAAAGATATTGGTTTGGACAAAGTTTTTCTATTGTACTGTAGTGTATATTGTAGACTTTTTTTATGATGAACAATCAGTTCACCTAGTGAAATGAAAAACTGTATTCTGAAGGAAACACACTATTCAGTTAATTACATGTTTTTGTAGTATCAAATTGTGTTGCTATTTTTTAACCTTTTCACATAGTACATGAATATATGTCTGTTTACAGTTACATTCTAGACCAAAAAATTCCATGATTAAGGTGATAATATATTAAACATTTATGTTACTTTCAGGATTGGTCTTTTCATAAATATTTCTCGTCTTGCAATCGAATGTTTTATCATATATATGCAACTGAGTTCATTGTAAACCAATTATCAAATCATTTTCATATAATCATTGGAATAATTTACATAGAACTTGAAAATTTTGTTCACCTTTATTTTGACTAAATTTATCATGTTCATTTATGAAATTTCTTGCTAGGGGCCCTACACAACAAAACATATGGTCAGAAAAATACATTTAGCTGTAAACAGACACTATTATTGTATCAATTCGTCCCTTTTTGTTGCCTAATTCATCCCATTCTAAATCACTACTTTAAATATTTCCTTGCATCTATACTTTCAGATTGAACTAACCCTTCAATATGATATTACCTAAGACACTCCCTGTTACCTGGCGTATACCATTCCTCAAAGCTAATCATCAACAGACTTATTGTAGCAATATCCTTTTTCTACAACCCTCTTTGAAATTTGTAAAACTGACAAGTACAGGGAATTTGAATCTTTTCTACAGACATATTATTTTGAAACTTTTAATCTGCATCTACTTAGTTCCTTTAAACACCTAAAAAATTAATTGTTTTCCACTTCATTTAAAATCTAAACTATTTCCTTGAACAAACGTTTCGACACCTTGAGTCAAGTCTTTCAAGTCATGTATAAGCAATGAACTCTTAATGAAATTACAATAGATAATTGTTCGGTCACTCGTTGAATATTTTTCTCTATTTGAATTGTTCGATTAGTTATTCTATAAGTAATATACTGTTTCTGTTCTACTATATGAATGAATAAAAAAATTACAACTCAAATTCGGATAGATAGTAGTAATTAATATAATATGATAAAAAGTCTCTGAAGGATTTTGATCATCAATCAAAGAATTCATGGTAAACAAGGCAAACGTTGAATACTTTTCAAATTGAAAGGGCTATCTGAGTAACCATTACCTTTTGTACAAAACACTAAAATGTGACAAAATCAGCTACCATTTACAAATCTTCAATCTGTGCAATGAAACCTAATTCATAATAATTTCATATATAAAGAATCAATTTTTATACCCCTATTTCTTGACCTATTATGGAATGCCATCGTCTGTCTGTTGTCAACCTGTCAGACAATAACCCAATTTAACCAATTCTTAAGTAACTTTGGTGAATTTTTTATATCTATTGATATAAGCTCTTTTTCAATTTTTTTTACGACATTGAGGAGTACTAGAACTTTGATTGTTAAAAAAGCGACATGCTTATCATGCGTAGCTCTTTTATTTCAATCCATATGCAATACCTACTGATGGGTCCTAATTGCATATGAACAAAAAACACATTTTTTTTAAAAATTTTATTTCGACATTAAGAAGGGACGAAACTCACAAGGCCTGACCGACGCAAAATTAATTCTTCCATATAATTCAGTACAATATTAATGAATTAATTTGACACTTACATAATTGATCATTCTTAATTTGATTTCACTCAAAAGATCAACAATTATATAGTTATGATAATGTCAACATGGCCTTGGGAGACCAGGTGTTATATGAAACTGTTTAAGCAGCAAACCTTGAATTCCAGTATTATATGATCAACCAAATATGAAAAGACTATAAACAACTACAGATACAGATTATATATATATATTATTAAACAGCATATATACTTATTCCAAAAAAATCATAGATACCATGCTTATAATTTGGTACGCCACACATGAATGTACTATAAAAGACGCATCAGTGAGCTTCTGACAAAAACAAACTTCAGAGTTTGGACACAAAATTCTCGTTCTCCAATCAGAGCAATGGTAATCTATTCTTGGGTTAGAAAATCTTTAGTTTTTTCGAGCAATACAAAGTTTTGTAAACAGATTATTTATATGACCATGTCAACACAAACACAAAAGTGTTGACTACTGGGCATGTGATTATAAATATGACTGAAAATATTAAACTAAGCCATTTTAGAATAAATAATTACAGCTGACAAATACTTCGTTCTTCTCTCCCCAGGATTCAAATACTTTTGATTCAATACAGCATTACCCAATAATATAGGATACTATTGCAGGTTATTATGTAGGATAACTTTTTTGATGAACAAACATGTATGATCATCAAAATTTGCAGGTATCACCATTTCAAATATAAAATATATTTGTTTGCCCTGTGAAATGTTGTAAGATTTCATTTTATATGTTTAGAGTGGAGTTGATTTTTATATTCCCGCCGCAGCAAAGGGGGTATTAAGCTTTACCCTTGTCCATCCGTCGGTACGTCTGTTACGTCCCAAAGTTTGTTTCCGTTCTCTATGCCTTGACCAAATGTTACTAAACATATACACAATGATTTTAACCACAAAACACACATCAAGTATTAATTTTGGAGACTCACTTTAACAGTTCTAGAGTTATACCCCTTTTCAAATGGAAAACTTGATGAATTTTTCGTTTCCATTCTCCAACTTTAGTTTGCCTCAACTTAATGTTATGAAACTTGTATACAATGCTTATTACCACAAAACACAGATCAAGTTTGAATATTGGTAGCGTCACTTTAACTGTTCAAGTGTTATGCCCGTTTACAAATGAAAAATATTTTCGTTTCTGTTCTCCAACTTAAATTTGCCTCAACCAAATGTTATTAAACTTATACACAATACTTATTACCATAAAACTCAGATCAAGTACACATTTGGGTAGCGTCACTTTTACCGTTCTTCAGTTATGTCCTTTTATAACTTTATATGATATACAAGCGCGGGCATCATCTGTGTCCCATGGACACATTCCAAATTTATTTCATATCATATTACTCCTTTAGTAAACCAGAAGTAAAACCCCAATTCAAGACCAATAAATTTACAGATGTTGAGACTACAATTATTAAGTAGAAATGATTATTCACCTGTATACCTGCTTACAATACCAACGAAGATAAGTCAATTAAAGATTTTAATAGGAGTCATGATATTAGCATGCATTCAGCATATATTTATTTTGTACGATTTATGTATGTTGTTATTTTTATAAACATTGTACTAAGCCGTTTCAATGCAGCAACTATATATGATTCAAATGACAAGGAATATTGCGGTTTACTTAAGAGAGAATTTGGCCAGTATCATGACTGAGTACTCTGTTTAGAAGTAGTAATTTGATTCCTTGCAATGAACTCAATTCATTGTTAAATATTATATATGAAATTTCATTTGTTAACTGACTGCACATGTTCTTTTTGAACTGTCGAGTAATATTCTTAAAGCACTGTGCATCATATTAAACACTTCTGTCAGCATAAGCTCTTTAAAACAAGATGTAGTCACTTCATATGTGATTTATCCATTTTATTTCTATTTCAATAAAAAAAGGATTTAGTTGTTAGGTATCAAATACATGAGTGCTTAATTATAAACTACCAGACGCCTAACTGCAATATGATGCAATGTGCTTTTCAAACCTGTTTTATAACCCTATGTGCTACATACTGAAGAGTCCTGAGCACAAATGGTCATTCATTAATGTTTATTTAAAGAACGAAACTTGCAAGGCCAAACAGACTTCAAAAATCTCCATTGTTCAATTTTATTATAGTTTGGAAAATCAATTTACCACATTAGAATGCTGTTCTATAACTTCATCATTTATATCTTTATCTTGATAACAAAAATTTCAACACCAATCCTGCACTGCCTTCCCCGTTTGAAATTCACTTTTACTATCTATAGAAATGCATTTGACATTTAATTTAAATAATGTCAACAAGGCCTTGGAAGTCTAGGTACAACAAAAGTTCAAAGATAAAAACTAAGATAAAACAAACAAAAAAGTATATATGGTGTACTACTTATTTGACCTGTCAATTTATAACTATTTTGATCTGAGCGTCACTGATGAGTCTTATGTAGACGAAAAACGCGTCTGGCGTATAAAATTATAAGCCTGGTACCTTTGATAACAAATTATATCCATGATTGCTACAACCATGGAACATACTTCAACAGAGAACACTACAAATAGTGCATACAAACAGTTTAGAAAAAAACGTATTACACATTTAAACTGATATCAATCTTACAAAGACCCCAACGAAAGAATTTTTGTTATTGATACTAAGTAGTAAGATATGTTTTACATAAACTCACTCTCCCGATTACCAAAAAAAGTAAAAGCATAATTTAATACAACACAACATTCAAAATTGAATAAAAGGAAAACTGCATAAGTAAATATAATAATACACAATGTCACTGCCATCATGTATTATTTGTGAAGTTCGTGTAATGATCTATTTGAGGAAAAAGACGAAATCCTTGCCCATCTACTTTTTGTTCAGATACTGATGAAGTTAAACAAAGTCTGAGTAGCATCTGCTAGCTAGCTCTCGCATATCGTATGAGATGATCCATTATCATCTTATATATGATTAATCGTTCAATTTTTTGAACATTGTTGAAGATTTTTCACACATTCCTTACAAGGAATAAGAACACTTTCACTGTATCAATATGTTTTCGTAGTAAATTTTCTTATTATTACAATAGAACGAGAAAATGCTATCATTATATATAATTTTGTTCTTCTAACTTACACATATGACTTTGTGTAAAATGTATGACAATGTTTAGTTATCATAATAATTTGGCTTTCTTGATATTCATAAATTATGTTATTTTAGTGGAAAAGAATGATTAAGACGTAAGATAGAACGAAATATAATTTATTCTTTGAGTCACCTCGCCCTATTGGTTTCCTGTAAGAAAAAAAATAAAAATTTAAGAATTGTTCAGGTCATATGCATAATTTCGGTGTATAATAGATTACTCAGTTTAAATTAAACATGGAGTATGTTAAAAGGACAATTCCTCCATATCTTTTCGTTTTGGCAATTCGGGCAGAACTTTTTAATGGTTTCACTAACCAGCATATTGTCATACGCCAAAAACTAGGCCAGATATTATAAGTTACTAACATAAATGTAAATTCTGCTTTAAGATGATTCACAAAAGTCTAAGTTGTGTTATTTCTGGTTTCCATTGATTCAAACTATTTGCATTTATGATTTGCGTAATCAATTCTGTAGTATTACAGTACATGTGTACATCATGTGATTCTAATTTGGTTAATGAACATAACTGCTTATATTTGTAGTATTTCCTTTTATTTTATGTATAAATGGATTGAAAAGATATAACGAAATGTATAAATGAAAAAGAATTTTACCAGATTACTGATATTGATCAATACGCATATCCTTCATTATAACTTCCTTGGTCCGACAAAGCTGAAACTTTTTCATTATAACCTCCTCCATTAGATAACACTGGAACTTTTTCATTATAACTTCCTTGGTTAGACACAACTGAAACTTTTTCATTGAAAACTGGACCATCGTATGATACTTTGCTCTTCATCGCATTTTCATGCTGTAGATTTATGTCTTCCTTTTCACTCAAGTGCCGTTTATGTTGGATTTCGCGTTCGATGGTTTGTTGTTTGTGTTGAAGTGCAGACTGCAATAGGTTTTTTGTTGCGTGGTTATTAAGTTTTTCAATGTGTCTATTTGATACGTCTTTCAAATGCTGGATGTGTTTACCAATTGCTTTGTTAATACCATAAAGGTGATTCTTAGCAACTCCTTGTACTCGTACAATGTGACTGTTTGCTGTATCGCCGATATCGTTGACATGATCATCTGCAGTCTGAGCAATAGCGTTGACATGATCATCTGCGGTCTGTGCAATGGCGTTGACATGATCATCTGCAGTCTGCGCAATGTCGTTGACATGATCATCAGCAGTCTGACCAATATTGTTGACATGATCATATGCAGTCTGACCAATATCGTTGACATGATCATCAGCAATCTGAGCAACATCGTTGACATGGTGATGTGCAGTCTGTGCAATGTTCTTGACATGATTATCTGCAGTCTGCGCTATGTTGTCGACATGAACATCTGCAATTGGAGCAACGTCATTATAATGAGTATCTGCAAAGTCGTTGATATCACCATCTGTAGACTGCGCAATGTCATTGACATGATCATTTGCAATCTGTTCAATGTTGTTGTCCGGATGTAAATCATTATTCAGATCAGAACGGAATGAAGTACTATGATGACCTGAAACAAAACAAAACGTTTATAACAAATATACTGAACTCCAAGATAAATTCAAAAAGAGAGAAGTCTTTTAAAATTGACAACACCAAACATTTGACTATATCAACGACGGAACGACCAGAAAACAACTTATATCTGACATGATACAGACATTTTCCGAAAAAAATTGTGGATTTAACCTAGTTTTATACCTAGTTCAAACTTCCACGACAGCATTGTGTGAGCAACTCCAATAGACATAATTGGTTAACGTGACCATTATTTGGCTGTCAAAGCAGTGTAAACACAACACAACTAAGTTTAATAATCCAAACAAACATACAATTAAATCTAAAAAAGACGCCAACAACAAAACTTCTGTGGTTGATGGTACAGTACGGTAAAACATGACTTTCTCGATAAATACAGATTAAGTTAACAAATAAGAATTAGGGTGTTCAAAATGCAAGTAACACTATAAAAATTTCATGATTCTGAATCGCCACTCTAAATTCACATGTATCAGGAACGCACAAAAACACACCGAGAAATTGAATAATATGCATTTCTATTCAATGGTAATTGGTAGCAAATAATTACTTACAATAGCTTGCAATTATCACCTCTTTTCAAATACATGTAATACAAAAAATTAGCTTACTTACATACACCTTATTTAATTTCGCTTACTATGACGGTGTAATGTGTTAATGTTGTCTCACTGATCTTTGCACCAGTTTTTATTTCTCTTAATTCATAAATATTTTGAAATAGGAACTTTTCCTTAACTTATGACAATATCATTTGGTGTTTTTATCAGAGAGAATATATGTACCAATAGAAACAGCGGTCAAAGTTGTTAAATGGTAAATGACTTGAAATCAAAACAGGAAATCTATTCGAGATACGTTTTTATTATCATTTTTCGAATTGTCACTAGTGAAATGTTGACTTGTTACATGCAGTTGTCTCCTATCAAATTAAAAGGAGTTGCCTTATGCTTGTCAATGGTAAATATAGTACTAGATTTCTCCCTTAAGATATCACCAGCCCAAAAATGGCATTGATGTGATCATGTTTATAAGTTAAAACTGGTAACAAAACTTTGAACTTTTCGCAAAACTAAGAACTTCTACCCCCGGAAGAGATTCACTTAGCTGTATTTGATAAAAACTTTGGGAATTTTGGGTCGTCAACGCTATTCAACTTCGAACTTGATTTGGCCTTTTAACTTGTTGTATTCGACCGTCACTGATGAGTTGTTTGTAGACGAAACGTGCGTCTGGCATATAAAACTATTAGCCTGGTATCTTTGGCGTGTTATTTTATAACCATTGGGTCGATGCCACTGATGGTGGAGGTTTCATACCCGAGGTTATCATCAGCTCAGTAGTCAGCACTTCTGTGTTGACATCAAATATTATTCATATGGTCATAACTATAAAGTAATTGTTAACAAAACTTTAAATTGTTCAAACAACGTAGGATTTTCTATCCCAGGAATAGATTATCCTATCAGTACTTGGCAATATTTTTTCGGAATTTTGTGTCCTCAATGGTATTCAACTATTTGATTTGTCCTTTTAACTTTTTTATTCGCGCGTCACTTGTAAACATAACATGTCTGGCTGTCTTTGAGGAATTTTTTATTATATGATTATGTCACTAAAAATAAGTCCTACAACTTACACGAGTTCAAAAGCTTTGGTCAATTATGACATCCAAAGTATGCATCATATAATTTAGAATTGATGCAGATACATGCCAAATATCAAAAACCTTTATTAAAAGATAAGAATATAAGGGCACGATCATGTTATATAGCAGTCGATTTGGATGTCAAAGATCTCATATAAAGAATTATGCTCTATACCACTTTTTTATGTGATTTGCCAATTGACTAAATATCAAACCCTTCGTCGAAAGAAACAAAACAAGTTCTGAAATATCAGTATAACATCAGGCAAATCATTATTTGTCGTTTTTCCTTGAAAACCTGCTGGAAGATTGGATTTTTTGTTTTGTTTCATGAGCTCACTACTGCCAATGAAGTTTCTTTATGCATTATTTTGTGTAACGTATCAATTGAGACATCCTTTAATGAAACAGAAGGTTTGTAAGCAGGATCTACTTACCCTTCCGGTGCACCTGAGATCACCCCTGGTTTTTGGTGCGGTAGGTGTTGATCAGTCTTTAGTTTTCTATGTTGTGTACTGTTGTTTGTCTTTTGGTTCTTTTCTTTTTCTGCCATGGCGTTGTCAGTTTATTTTCGACTTACGAGTTTGAATGTCTCTTTTGTTATTATTGTAAATGACAATTTGACAACGGGAAAACTTCAAATGTGCAAACCTTTGCACTCATTATATGAGATATCTTATCAGTAATTTAATTGTTTTTACAGAAATGGGTATTTCTCCTTTTTTGCACTTTTTTCTTAGTAATGTTTGTTTTTCTGAGGTTTGCAGGCAAATTGTGACGTTGAAAATTTTGAATTTAGAATGTGGCTGGGAAAAGATATGGACAATTTGTAGATCAGACAAAGTTTGATGAAATACCAGTGTTTTTGTTGGTTTTTTTTTTTTTTTTTTTTTTTTTTTTTTTTTATCTATTTTCAGAAATGTTACTCGTTTGAGAGAATTGCAAGCACGTTAAGATTATCGTCGTCTTTGATTGTAAAATATCAGAAAAACAATCGGTTTAGATCGCTTATAAAATGTGCAAATATTTTTACAAATTTGCACATTTTAAGACTTTTAAGACTTTTCATTTAGATAAAGATAATAATGTCATTTATCTCATTATTTCGAATATTTTTACAAATATATACTCTGTTTGTTCGATTCAAATTATTTTCGTAGCAATGAAAATGGACGATAAATCAGAGGATTTAAGTAGTTTAAGACATGTACAGTAAATTTACTTATTTTGTTTTGTAGCAAGAAAAAGATTGCGTTGACCCAAATGTTTCTCTTTTATTTTTCCAAAGCACATCATAAGAACAATCTAATCATCCTATTCTAAATTGTGACATTTTGAATTAGTTTGAATTTACATATCAGCTGGTGCATGCATTGCAGGTGATGCATGCATGACAGGAGACGCTTGCCTTGTCGAAACACCCGTTGTCGCTTCTCTTGGAATACATTCCCTCTGTTTTTGTTTGTTTCCTTCATTTGTCTCTTATTAGTCGATTAACGAGATTTAAGCGTCGGCGTGCTGCTGTCGCCTTAATTTATCATGTATTATTAAACATTCCACCAGTGTCCTTTTTAATAACACTAAAGTATTTTTGTTTTCCCTTTCATAAAATTTACAAAAATTGATAATTCAGTACAATCTGTCGCTTAATTAAAAAAAAGCTCTACTTTTTTTTTTTTTTATGAAAAAATTTGATATACACTACATTTAACAAAGGTATAAAACAAATCTTTTGCAAAAAATTAAGACCCCAACCTTAAGAGTTTAACATTGAAGATCTTGTCGGAGTTCTAATGGACTAACAGCAGACTGTGTGGCCTTCATATGAGATACTGTATCGTTCTCACATCATTTTTCATAGACGTTATGAATGTCATTAATTATTATGAACGCAAATCATATATGTTTTCATATGCAGATTGTTACGATTGAAAGCGCACATTTGAATGCTTGATGACATGAGATAATCATTTGACCAAAAATGCTCTTGTGTTCGATAAAAAAAATGTAAAATGCATTATCTTGCAATCAGCCAACTATTGAACAAATAATAGCTGCAAAATTTAATTTTTGCTATATTTGTACTTCTACAAATAAAGTTTCCGGTTCCTTGTTGAGCAAGCGGTAATGTGATTTTTTTTTTGCGTAACAGTTCATTTTAGAGTCCTCTTCACGGTCCGCGTTTGAACTAAGACGATTTCTATGTAAAAGTAGAGACAACTATTTAAGTGCCGGATGTAATTTCAAGATAAAAACAATAACATGTACATTATTGGAAACATTATATGTATTTTTACTCGCTACGAAACAGGAGAAAAGCTCGGCGAGCATCTCGTTTTATCCTGTTTCTAAAGCTCATACAAATCAATTTTATATTTTCTGACATTGTACAAATATTGTACAATTATAACTACAACTTGCAAGTAAACTTATAATTGCCTTTAATTGCTTACATCCACTTCATTTTAACTTTGGTGGATAGTTGTCTCATTAGCAATCATACCACATCTCCTTATTTTTATATTGTAGTTTTGTTTAGGACGCTGTGATATTGACAGTGCAAAATATTATCATTTGTTCCAATGACTTTTTACTGTTCATAGAAAGATTAAATGTTAAAAAAGTTATCAACACTAATGGTTTTCTATCACAAGGTAGAGACATGTTCTTACCAAATTATCAAATATACCGGGCTTATAATTTTGTATACACCATGCACGTTTCGTGTACATTAGACTCATCAGTAGCATTCGATATAAATTAGTTGTGAAGCCAAATCAAATACGAACATCGAAAACAATAGATTTGGCACATTTCCAGGAGTGCAATTATTTGCATTCGTTGAGCGCCTATGATGAGTCTTCTGATCATGAAACGTTCTGTCGCATAACATTAAAATCTTGGTATCTTTGATAAAAACTAGATTGATACACATATTGGTGGATGTTTTGTTAAATTGTAGCAAGCACTCCTGTGTTGATGTCAAATATCAATTTTAGGTTATTGTTTGTTATTTTACTGTTTATCAAATGATTTGATCCTAGGAGACGATGTGAATTTGTTTATCCCAGATTTATGAATCTGTGTACTTGAATTAGCGTTTGACAGTTCTGATTCGAGAACATACTATAAGTATGATTTTATGTAGACGAAACGCGTGTTTGCCGTGTTAAATTAAAAGCCTGGTATTTTTATGATTTCCACAAATAATAATGTTTTTGAGAATTGATAACCTGAACAATGACATTGTTTTGTTGACTGTGAGAAAACAGCCTAAACTAAGTATACCTTGAATAACCGTAAATAGATGTTGGTTTCCTAACTGCACAAAACATTCGTTGCTGTCACCGTATGATTCAAGACATTCCTGCCAAAGAGTCATAAATCTTCTTCGACCACCACTTAGACGGTATGCTAAATAGAATTCGAAAATACAAATTATTCAGTTTTGAAATGTTAAGAAATACGCAGTTATTAAATTCTTTGCACATTAATTTAATTACTGCAAAAACAGCAATACATAGGTCAATTTGTTTAATTGGCAGTACCAAATTTATACATCAGATGCGCATTTCGACAATCGATTTCTCTTCGGTGATGAAGATAAAAATCCAAAACCGTATACAAACGTTAAAAAGTACAACAATTACTAAAACAAGGAAGCAGAGCTATGAACTAGGGAGACACATTCCATTAATTTAAAATGTCATTCCAGTCATTTATGATCTCAGTGTATTGTGGTTGCAAATGAACACTACATTGAATGAAACGTGGTATACCTTCAGTTACCATATACCTTCAGTTACCAGCCTTTTTATTTTGTTTTTCTGATCTTATCTTTTCGTTTTTGTCCCAATTAAACATATGTTGTCAGCATTATTTTGATACCAATCTTTCATAAACATTAAAGTAAGATAATTCATTGTAGAAAATATATCCAAAGAAATGAATAGATTGGTTTTTAGATTAACAAAAGTACGATAACAGCCATTATTTGGCCTCTGAAATTATGTTAGTTTTATTGAAAAATGAATAGGTAAATATAAACTGGACTGTTTAGTGCAGAAAGGTCAAATGGGTTGTCACTGTGAAATGTGAAATTGGCTTTATTGAGCCTCGTATTGAGCTAAAATAACAATTTACACATAGTTGTTGACAAAATAACAACCACCTTACCCAAAATGATTTTACACACATTAACATCTGGATGAAAATACATCTTGTAGTAAAATATCGGAGGTAAACAGTCCATAAGATAACGCAGTCAGTTAAATTGTAATTAAAATTCCCCCGAAGGCAGTACTAATAAAAAGGATCGATTTGGATTTGTACGCTATGGCCATTAAAAACGTTTCAACATCATGGCAGCAACAGCATAAAGGCGATAAAATTTTCAAGGTTTTCGTTATTTTCGAAAATTTTCGTTAGACACAATAAAGCTAAGGAGTATACGACTGTGCGAAAAGTTGTATACCTGATTTCCGAAAAGTGTAAAAATAAATCACCTTCGGAGACTCATCAGGTAGCACTTGTCTCATATGTTCAAAGCATTTTTAAATATCCAGCCATTATCCCTACTGTATATGGCATAATGTTCTTTAAATGTACAATGTAGACCTAATACAAAGGATTTTCAATGAGATCAAATATTTGTAAAATGAATTACTTACTGTTTCCTCCGAAGTAAATGATGCCATGTCTTATTCTCAAATTGACATCTGTCCCATCATCATTGAAATTTCCCTCAAAAACGTGTGTGTGGACATGCCTATGAACAGCAGCTTGGTGGCTGTGAATATGTCTATGAGCAATAAGATGCCTGTGAACATGTCGGTGTACAACTTGATGTCTGTGAACATGTCGGTGTAGAATTTGATGTCTGTGAACATGGCTGTGTACAACATTGTGTTTGTGGACATGGCTATGAACAACTCGATGTTTGTGAACATGGCTGTGAACAACGTGATGACTGTGAACATGCCTGTGTAGAACGTGATGCTTGTGAACATGTTGGTGTTCAACGCGATGTTTGTGCACATGTTTATGTAGAACGCGATGACTGTGAACATGCTTGTGTACAACGTGATGCTTGTGAACATGTTTGTGTAAAACACGATGCTTGTGCACATGTTTATGTAGAACACGATGCATGTGAACATGTCCATGTAAAACTTGATGTTTGTGGAGATGTTTATGAAGAACACGATGTTTGTGAACATGCTTATGTAGCACGCGATGCGTGTGAACATGTCCATGTAAAACTTGATGCTTGTGGAGATGTTTATGTAGAACGCGATGCGTGTGAATATGTCCATGTAAAACTTGATGTTTGTGGAGATGTTTATGTAGAACACGATGTTTGTGAACATGTTTATGTAGAACACGGTGCGTGTGAACATGTCCATGTAAAACTTGATGTTTGTGGAGATGTTTATGTAGAACGCGATGGTTGTGGACATGCTTATGTAGAACTTGATGCCTGTGAACATGGCCATGTAAAACTTGATGTTTGTGGAGATGTTTATGTAGAACGCGATGGTTGTGGACATGCTTATGTAGAACGCGATGCCTGTGAACATGGCCATGTAATACATTGTGTCTGTGAACATGTCTATGTAAAACGCGATGCCTGTGAACATGTCCATGTAAAACGCTATGTCTATGAACATGGTTATGTAGAACGCGATGTCTGTGAACATGCCCATGTAAAACACGATGCCTGTGAAGATGCCGATGAAGAACGCGATGCCTGTGAACATGCCCATGTAAAACACGATGCCTGTGAACATGCCGATGAAGAACGCGATGTCTGTGAACATGCCCATGTAGGACGCGATGTCTGTGCATTATCCTGTGTGAAACGCGATGCATGTGAACATGTCCATGTAAAACGCTATGTCTGTGAACGTGTCTATGTAAAAGGTGATGTCCGTGAACATGACTATGTCTGTGGAAACTAATAGCTCTTTCATAATACCTCCTGTGTCCAATATTAGCGTAACCTATTAATATATATATATATATATAGATATACAAATACTTACTGACAAATGCCAAAACTAGATTATCAGGGTGTCAAACTCTCACAAACATCTCCTTAATCCAACTTTAAATGGGTTATACAAGGAATCCATACAATGGTGCAATAGTAGAAATGCTGAAAACTTTCTAATATATTTACCTTTATTCTAGTTTACTTTCAGCTAAAGTATTGATATAAATGTTTAGTTGCTCAGTCTTTAGTTTCATATGTAGTATTTTGTGGACTTGTTTGTTATTTCGTCTTTTTTCGTTTTTTTTTTTGTTTGTTATGGCGTTGTCAGTTTATCTCGACTTATGAATTTTGATGTCTCCATAGTGTCTGTCGTCTCTTTTTATACTAACACTAACATTGTTGTAACTCATGGGCGAATAACAATTTAATAAGATATTTTGACGAAACTATTTACCGGTATATCTGTGTAGATTCCTACTACAAAAGAATTATCTCCCCATTACGCGTATTGTTTTTTTCGGTGAAAATAAAAACTGGTAGCTATTTTAGAAATGACAAACTGTCATGAAAGCTTTTTGAAAACCGGTAATGAAAACAATCTTTACAAATTTGGTGTGTCCGATGCGCTTTTCTAAATTTACCTTTATTGGGAACGTTTAAATCTAAATACGTCAAATCGAAGAATGTATAAGTTTTTGAAAAAGTGTTTTTGAGTTGTGTAACCAAATTGACGTTAATAGAACAGTCGAATCAATCTTAGGTCATCTTTGCATGAGGGTGTTTAACTAAATTATATCCCTATTGCATCACTACAATACCTATTTGTAATTTTGAAGGACAGATGGAATATTTTAAGAAGTTAAAATAACTAATAACCACATATAGCATGCACAAACTTTTGAACTCATAAAGCATTTATCCAGAAGTGTGTCGTTGAGGCTTTAAAAGTAAAATAAGGTTATTCTGTGTTATTTAAACACAACAACTCTGTTACGATGACTCATTACAAAGATCGTTCACTTGGCCTATGTAATTGGTTTTCTTGGTGTCTGCCCTTCGTTTGACTTTGTTTTCTACGTTTTAAGGACAATATGGTCGAATGTAGGAGGTGCATCTGACTTTATCGTCACTATAAGATTAATAACCAGGGCGTCTTTCAGCGATTTGACCAGATGTTATTGAAAAACATGATAAATACAAAGTATCCAATTTCATTTAACGACGTATTGGTGTAAATAAAGAGATCCAAATTTATGCCTTACACAGCTTAAATAGTGTATTAGAATAAAATGTATAACAAAAATACCGAACTCCAATCTAAATTCAAAAAAGGGAAGTCAATTTATACTGACAAAATCAAACATTATTAACCAACGAGAAACGAATCTTATAGTAAGAGAAAGATTTGTTTTTCACCCATGTAATTGTTCTGTGCCTTTTTACCCTCATCTAATCAATGTATTATATAGTTTAGCTGCTTACTATCATTTGTGTATAAATAAGTTACATACAAAACATTTTAAATTATGAATCTATATAAAACTTTTAACGACTTTGAATCAAATGTAAACTATCCCAATATGACTACCTGGTCATCTTTTAACTTTTATAATATAGAATTTCATTTATATTGTTTAATTTCTACTGAAAAACCGCATCTATTCGAAAACGATGATGAAATAAGTAACCAACGTAAACGGATATGAAAAGGGAGCACAATATTGATATGGCGTAAGAAGATGCAGATAAAAAAAAGGACGAAAGATAAATACTCCAAAATCTTAAACAAAGTATGGACAATCGTTGATATGAATATTGTCTGTGTTGTTTCGCATTTTCGTTTTTCCCCTTTGAACAGGGTGTTGTCGGACAATATGATATTCGACTTATTTTTTCAATCGCCACTTCGGAATTTCCCCGCTTTGACACACCTACATTAGAATGGGAAATTCTCAAATGTATCCTTCCAATTTTTTGAAAATAAGAGTTATAGGTAATAGATGTAAAACAATATAAAGAATTTTTATTTTTAATTCTTCCTTTGAGTGGCTTATTGACATTAATTGGACTAACTAAAATATCGTTGGATGACATTCAAGTATAAATTGTATATACATACCGCTTGGTTCTCCATATCTTCGTCCGTAAGACTCTGCAACTACCACTGAAACGCAATAGATACATGTAGAATAAATATGAACAGAAGGAAGAATTGTTAAAGAGCATCCTATGCAGTTAACTTAAAATGACGACCTTAGCAATAGACATGTTATGAAACCATATATCAACCACTAAAACTACATGCTAAAAATATTCATCACTACAATAGTTACTCAATTGAATCGACGAATTACTGGAAAACACAATATTTTGGTTTGAAGACGATCATTTTCGAATGTTTATTCAAATTTTAAATCCAATATATATTACAGACAAGAAAACAGATCTGCATACCACTATCGTTATTGGTATAAAATACTGTCACAATAGTAATGCTAAATAAATACACATGCGAGAGCATGACAGGGAAATATAGTATACCTAGCACCGCAGTAATTAGGAGGATGGTGAACAATCCCCGCTTCATGATGACAGATTTCTTTAAAATGCTCCTGAAAGATTTCTGTTTGACTTGTTATGTTGTAATAATAATAATGAAGCGCCCTCCCAGAAAATACTGATTAAGCGAGTTATATAGTACATGGTGTCACGCAAGATGTTACCGGTATATACATGTTATAGTACACATTTAAAGTTTGTCTACTGAAATAAAACCATGTTTTTCTATTGAAATCTCTCTATATGTTTGTCATGAGCAGTATAACAATTCTTATCTTCGTGTAATCCATTTGCAACATATATGATCACATACAAACTCAAAGAAAAACAATGTTAGTGACCAGCGGATCGTACAAATAGTTCACATATACCCTGCGTAATATTTATCAATATCAATGCATATGTATAAAAATAAGAAGATGTGGTATGCATGGTATGATTGCCAATGAGACAACTCTCCACTAGAGACCAAATGACATAGAAGTTGACAACTATAGGTCACTGTATGGCCTTCAACAATAATCCAAAACCATACCGCACAGATTTGTTTTTGGAATCAAGGTCTAAAAAAAATCTTAAATTCTGCAATATGAACCGTTGTAAAAGTAATTAATCCGGTACATTTTTGTGATTTGTTAGAGGTAAAAGTAGTTGACCGTTGTTCAAATCTGCTAAATTAATTTCTCAAATTCGAAAATGTAATTGCTTGTACTCCAAAAAGAGTGGAAAAGGTAACGTTGACATTTTACTGTACCAGATGCGACAGTGATGTAACAGCACAACATAAGAACAAACTGACAAACTGTAAAAAACAGTTTGATATTAGCTCTAATTGGATTGATACCAATTGCGTCACAAGGGGAGATAAATCTTGCTATACATGTATCAGTAGTCCTCAGATTCAATAGTCACATCTTTTTAACTATTACATAACCGTTTGCAATGTCAGATTTATCAAACCAATATGTACGATTAGTCCAGTAATACTAAGTCACATTTTCGGGCATTTTATTGTTGGTTATTTTGTACAGAGTAAAAGGCCAGCTACTGAACATTCTGAAAGATAAAAAAAACTTAACTGAAGCGATGTAGTTGGGCATTAAAAAAAAATATTAATAAATAATATGTTAAAATGTTGACTGTAAAGACTGATTTTATTGTGTCTCTTTTTTTCTTTATTTTATTTTCATTTGTTAGTATTTATTGCTTTTTATTATCTTTTCAATATTAGTTGAAAAACACATGCGCATTCAAGTTCATACACACCAGCAACAAACGTTTAATTCACAGCCAAAAACAAAGGAAATAAAATACCCCACATCTCATTTTATTCATACGATGCATAAAGAAATAACAAAGAAATAAAAAAACACACCCAAGCAATACCTTATTTATTTCAAAATACAACTTTGCTCCAAAATATATCTGTACACAAACTTTATTACTGGAACAGACAAGAATGACTTCTAAGGGGTATAACACAAATCACCGTTCACAGTCGTTTTTGTTCTCTGTGTTTTATATTTTTCATATATTACATCTTTATACGCAAACCGTTGATAAATAGAAATCATTAAGTAACTATGGTTCAAACTTCGTCGGGCAAAGTTGACCTTGTGTGAATTTGGCTATTTTATTAAGTCCCTTTGGTCATATACAGTTTCTCAGATGTTTATACATCCTTGGCTTTCAATATATTTGGTTTTAGGGTTTCAAATGAAGGAACATCCAAAAACGTTTTGTTCCGTCTTTAGTCGTTGTCTTAAAGGAGACATGACACGATTGTTTTGTTCAATTTTGCTGGTCAAAACCTGTTAAATCGGCATTTTTCTGGTCAAAGAATCCAGCGCTTGTCATTAAGAATGATTTTTAATTAGATAACGATCACATGATCGTGCTTACGTCAGTGGTTACAAGCTGGGAAAATGTCTCTAACTGGACGATGTCGATACACTATGGACGGTATTGACAACACTTTTCCCAATTACTGACAAACTATAAAGACATTGTGTGTGAAAAATAACAAAGACAAGGATATTAATTCTTCATGCGAAGATTTCAAAAACGACGATTTTTCAGACAAGACCGATCGGATTGTTACCATACATATTTGGTTTGTCTGATGAATAAATTTAATAGACCGCTTTCTGCATTTTTTTCATTTAAATAAAACTGCTTTTTAATCATGATTGAAAATATAAATTTCTAATTATTGATGATCAAAGTGTTCTTTTATCTCTCTGTTACGGTAATGTTATAATTATGTGTGCGCCAGAAGCAGAAAAAAAAAGCGATAGTAAAAGTCAAATAAGGCGTTCGCAAAGTGTCCGTTTTTATTTATTTATATTTTTTTATTACATAGAGACTTTTAATAGGTATAAATTATCACCAAAAGTTATGTTTATATTTTTTTTGGTTGGAAACCATACATCACACTAAGGATTTGTATAGTGAAAAATCCTTTATCACACTATTTCTGCATTAGGATATTCAATCAATAATTTTATTACTTTTCCCCTTTTATGTAAACAATTCAATTCAATATTTATTTACGTCTCACCTTATGTATAAAATTACACAATACAAAATATTTATTGGAGGCTGCTGTTTTAGTGATTAAATGTTGACACCTATAGCATACTTGACCAGGTGAAAGGTAAGAAGGCACCTGTAGTGTGATTTAGTCACGTGTTATGTTATTCACCTTTTAAAATCATACATTTCTAAGAAAAAACTATCTTTTGTTGAAATAATTAATATAGTTCTAAAGTATGCTATTCCATCCAGACCCTTATAAATCTAACTTCAAATTTAAGGAATTACACAAAGTAAATTCAAATTCACTTATTTCCATCCCTCTCTTCCAAATATCATTTAGCAATCAATTTGTTTATTGCTACCATCAAACGCTTGAGTCCAGGAAAATATTCGCAACACATAATGTTCTTGTTCAAAATATTTCTTCTAAAAGGGGTCATTTGAATAAATGTTAGATTTTCAATCGGACTGAGCAGGAAAATGTTTACATGTAACATACTTCAGTCTTCGAGAACATGAGTTGTGTATTATAGCTGTACTTGGCTTTGATCTGGCTAACAGTATTTGTGCGTTGCCTCTATTGTTTTAACGTTAGTGGTTTCTCTACTTCGTACCGATCTTTTGCGTTAGACTGGTTTTTATAGTTCTTATGTACTGCAGTAAGACCACTGTTACACGTTGGGAGGGGGAGAGGGTACCGTAGGCGCTCACAAACATATACCACCGACAGATTTTGAATGTAAAATTGAGAATGGAAATGGGGAATGTGTCAAAGAGACAGCAACCCGACCATAGAGCAGACCTGTCTTAAATCAGGAGCATATAGATCAGTGGTTGTCGTTGATTCATGTCTGTCAATTGTTTTCTGCGGAAATTATTTTGTTATGAATAAGTTAGTTTTCTCGTTAAAATTGTTTCACATTTTCACGTTGAGAACTTTTATAGCCGAATATACAAGTATGGGGTTTTCTCATTATTGGAGGCCGTACGATAAACGACACTTTCTTCATTTATTATAAAGTTTCCATTTTAATAAGAAATGTTTTTCAACATCTGAATCTTTACCAACTAAATAGTTGTCAATAATTATATCCGATGTTCAAACTGAGAATGGAAATAGGGAATGTGTCAGAAAAAGAATGCAAAAGACTTATGATTCACATTCTCGTATCATTTCCTTGTTTGCTTTTTATGCTTTTTGTCTACCAATTTCTTATGAAGTTATAGACTTGCAAGCATACAAGAATATTACTTTTCCATACCTGAAGTCAATTAAAAAATGCATCTGTTATAAACCTTTTTATATCTGCATATTCTTAAAAGCAAAAAAAATAAGATCTATATACAGGTTGTCTATTAGTTATCATTACGGGTTAGGGTATTTAATTGGTGGTGCATAGGGTATTGTATGGTCGTACTACAGGTATTCATTAAACATACGATCAGGTAGTTGTACCTGTATTACTGTACACAACAATAATATATTTCAATCTCACCTGTGCCCTCGGCAAAACCAACATCCAGGATGTACACAAAGAGCTTATGAAGTAATATTGCGTAATAACTATATGTCTTATCAATCCCCCATGTGGAGTGACACCTGAAGTTTGCAACTGCAAACGAGACCTGAAATTGCGAAACTCAATCATCTGTACCGTACACCTGTGACCTATAATGAACTCATGGCATGGCACCCGAGACCCCAACTCTTGATTCCTTATGAAAGTGGGCGGAAAGAAGTGTAGTTTGGGCTTGTTAAAAAGTCCCATCTTTACACCTTCTAAGTCTGCGTGTCATTCGAAAAAACAGAAAATATCGTGTCATTAATCTTTTTAATTATATTGTTGAATCCATCGGCATCACACATAATCATTGTTTATCACTGTCATGCGTTTTGTTGGATAATAATCGAAACTAAATTTGTGCTGTACCCATATGTCAATATGAATGAATGTAACCACTGACGTAGAAGCCACGTTCTGAGTGACTTCCTGGATGGAAATTTGCATATTTGACAGGTCGATAAACGTTGCATCAAAATCTCATTAAAATACATATTTTACCAAATAGTTGACACTTATATTGCTATCGATGTATTTTTGGGGAAAGTTAAGTATAAATAAACATTTTGAAACACAAATTGAAAATCGTGTCATGTCTCCTTTAATAAACGGAAACGATTTCACCGTTAATCAGAATACGTTATTAGTTTTAGCTTGCATTTTATTAGAAAAATTTAACGTTTTGACATTGATATATATTTCTTTCTCCTTTATGAATCATTTTTATAGTTAAAGGGGTATTAGTAACGAATTAGACATAAAATCAAAATACGATTTGTTTGTTTTTTTTGTTTTTTTTGTTTTTTTTGCTTCAAATATTATAATCGCGGAGTACATGATTTCCTTATAAGCAGCCGGTTTAGCTCAATTTCGCCAAAACAAACTTAATTTAAGTCTTTGATACATGATTTTTTTTATTAGCTGTTATTGGCTTTGAACTGCCTTTCAGTAACTGCGAGTAATCTCAGATCTATACTTTGTGTCTTTTGTGTGTT